CACCGGTTTCGCCCTTCCAATTAGGGCTCATCAGGTGGGCGCAATCCCCGAATTTCCGTTAGCCTCATCACCTACTTCAACATAAATTGCACTGTTTTCGAGAAATACACTCGTTTGCAAATCAATTCGGTTTTAACGCGTGACTCAATTGAACCTCTCGTTTATGATGTCCTCCAGGTGAATGTGCTGCACACCGGCCTCCTCATCATTCGGTTGCCCAGATATTCCAGATATCGCATTATATATTCATAATGGAAACTATTCACAAATTTGCTGAAAACTCTTCTGCAGCCCGCCCCGGTTTTCGCCCATCCACTCTGTGCTCATCTGTTGGGCTCTTTCCCCGAATTTCCGTTAGCCTCATCATCTACTTGAACCCAAATTGCACTTTTTTCCAGTAATACACTCATTTGCATATCAATTTCGTTTTCGCAGAGACTGAATTAGTCTCTCTTTAGTCCAGTATACTCAACTTTCTCAAGTCGTTACTAGCAAACTTCCAGCGTCCTGGTTTTTTTTTGCACGAACTTTCTTCATTTCCACACCCGATACTTCCTCGAAACCCAAACTGAACCCGTTGTACAATGTCAATTTTTTATGGTGTTTTTTCGTAGACTCGGCATCTACACCATGTGGCAATTTATTTGCATTTTTCTAGGACCGACTCGAAAATCAGTCTGTATTAAGAATCATCACTACGTCTCATTGGCTTTCCTGTTTTGAGTTCTAAATTCAGATTGCCTGACTGAGTGCCTGGATATTTTGTCATCCGCAAATGATAGTGGAAGGCCATAAGAGAATCCCTTTCCTTTGCATCCACGATAAGGCGTCCACTTGAAAACTGATAACGCTGCAGCAATGCACAATCTGCGAAAACTGATGCTACACTGACGTGGTCGATGATGATCACGATGATGATGATGATGACGTCGATCCTCCGGATGATGACGATGATGATGCGAAATGATTGAATCATTTGATTTTCCCAACTTTCTCAGACAAGGGACACGACAAACCAACATGACACCAATTAGGCAGTTGCAGCTGTATAAATTTATAATGAATTTGGATGTGGATCCATGAACGAAGAACAATATGCGAGATTCGCACGTCATGCTTTGCTGTTCTGAATGGACCATGTCTAGTGTATAGTCTAGTCCGAGATTCTAAGAGGGGAACCATATTTTATTTATTTAGCATCATCAATCAAGCTCATTAAGTGCCATTTTATTTGGATAACAGTTCTACGGCTGTTTGCAAACGCCAAAGTCCGAAGAAATCTTTTGTTACAAGGCGGTATTCAGTCAGTTCCAAGAGCAATCCATCACGACCCGGAACTGGTTAGTTCGGCGCGACTTGAATGACAGTGCTTTGGCACTGACTCACAGATATTCCTTTGTTATATGGAGGGCTTGGGGAGGGTTGTCAAACATCTGGCACACGTGTCAAACCGGAGTTCCGCTCTAAGATCAACATTTGTTACGGCTAGCCCTGTACATTATGGAGATTATAGTAATCAACTTTATGGGATTTCGTTATTCAGTTTCAGACACTGACCGACAGATGTGGTTTCCAACCGGCTGACAGGTTCCACAACTACACTTGGGTGGATGCCGCCCCATTTTGACTAATATCATGAGAAAACAGTGGAACATTTGTTGAAGATTTCCCCTTTGAAATTTGGGGCTACTTATGCACAGGAACTGAGAATCATTGTTAAGACGTTTCATCCATACTGCGGATCATCACTAGTGAGCATCTCACGAAACTCCTGGTAGTTTCGGACCGAAAGCGTGACGGCCCGGCTAGTGGTTTCAGCACTTAACCTTTTGGCTGATCGTCAACATGATTTTCCCTCGCTGAAGCAAGACCAAGCGCCACGGTTACAGACAGTGGGTCGGGAATGTGAAACTCTCTCATGCACCTTTTCTATGAAAAACAGAATAAACTTTTTCTTCTTGGAAGCGCCCTCCCGAACTTCCCCGGATATTCACTGACTATCACGCAATTATAAACTAATGCTGTAAATCAATTCATTAAATTCCGCAATAAATCACCCTCCATTGGATCAAGGCGGAGTTACATGAAAACCACATGACATTTGCATTCCCCAATCAGTAGATTAAACCGTTACACATTTTGTCGCTTTACAGGTCGCTTGCGTATCACCGGTTTCCATTTTTGTGAAAGATTAATAGCTTAGTTGTCGCTGCAGGCCTTATTTGATTACTCCGACAAATCAGTCTGACACCATTGATATCTCCCGATTCTTCCTCTGGGGGATCGCCTTTGATGGTACATCAAAAGAAGGATAGTCTTTCGAGAGAGTGGAGATAGTTGCAAATTTGGCTGAGATAATGAATTCATGTACAAAGAACATCACCAATTTTATCCCGGCTTGTTTGACTGAGAACTGCTCTGCAAGCCGCCCAATCTTTTCTCTTATTTCCAGGAGGTCGTTGCAGTTGTTCTACAAGGTTATGATCAGTCGCCCAAAGATGTTCCTGTCATTTGTCAACAAATTTCTCTTTCTGTTCAAAAGTGATGCAAAAATTTTAAATTTCGTTTCAATGGTTAATTTGCTAAACTATCGTTAATTTTAGAATTCCACGGCCACAAAGATGATTGGAATCAATAGACATTATCACATGTTTCGTAAATCGCTGCACTTAGCACGAATCGTTCTTTTGGGTGAAGGTATGCTCAGCAATTTTTAGTGCAACACGATATTACTGGGAGGGTTCGTGTAAAAAACTAGAAAATTAGAAATGGGTGATTCATTTGCAGTGACGTAACACTCAAAAGGTACACGAAATTTGAGAGTTACGGTCGATGTTGATGGGTGTTCACCAACGCCTATTGGACAGCCTGGATCAATTCCAGATAGTGCCCCTTGAATTGTCGCGGGGCCGTCGTAACTTTCGCACACGCACGCATTCTTGTTTGGAATAAACCTCTTGTGTAATAATATCGGTAGGCTCTTTCTGGCACCAAGAACTTGACTTCAAACAGAGGTTGTTGGCGACAACCCGCCTCAAACGACCGCTCAACTCTGTGCGTAACCGAACCGATCAGATTACATTTTGGGTCGGGGCGCTGCCCGGATTCTCAGCCTCTGATGTTTCGTTTGTAAGCTGTAGGGCGCGGTGAACTGTCCGGATGGAACACATTCCTTAGGATAGATGAGAATGCTAACGCTCAGTACTGCTAACTACACAGAGTCGCAACACCAAAAGACACTAGGGCGAGAATCCATTGTCATTGGGTTGCCTATCGCCAGTGACTTTCAGTCAGTAGAACTAATAACCAACTAGCCAATGTCGTCGTGTTTTGTGTTGAAGGTATATAGTGGTCTGCCTTTAACAGAGGGTATGTTACCGGCCCTAAACACCATATATTTCAGCACATTGTAGAACTGTTTGAATACTGTATTCCACAGTTCACACAAAAACGTCCATCGCACTTTGTGGGTTGACATGTCTAATCAACCTCAGAAGATTGTCCAATACGGAATTTGTTCTTTGGACTCAAGAGGGGCATCTGTGGAAAGTGTAAATCAACTGTCCCACCACACCTAATCGGTGGCGTTGATTCGTCTTTGATGCATTAATCTGCAATTCTCTATCAACCTCGTTTTAATTGAACACCTCATTTCACGCCTATCTAATGAAACCCCGAAAGGAGGGACCGGTAGTTAGTTGTTAAAAAGTATTCGGTGAAATTACGAGCAGAAATAAAATATCAAGTTGCCAGGGTCGTAAGAAAACGACTGCATGAACAGATAAATCCAAATAACGAGTCTTCTTTAGACAAACTGGCACCGTCCTGACCAATTCGCTGAAGCATCTGATGCAGTTCTGAATTGCTGCATAAGTAGTTATTCAATGGACATTGATCTGTTTCACAATGCATCTGCAGTAGGGTTGGAGTAAACAAGGGAAATGATTGGAATTTGAGTAGTGTTTTAAATCGCCGGCCCGGAAAGTGTCCTAGTTGGGTTGTTCGACCCAGCTATCATCATACATCCTGTGAACAAATCATGAAATCGCACGTCAGATTTGTGAAATCGTCTTCATGTGTTCAGAAAACCTGAGAATCCGGACAGTTTTACATGAATTCTTTCGGGATTAAACGAACCATTTTTCACCTCCAATTTGATGAAAAATATAAACCATGCCTTTAGTGATATCAGAACGCGACACGGACCTGTTGCAATACATTTTATTTTTGAAACGTCACGCAACAGCGTGCGTGCCCTTTAGCAGCATACGCTGTGGACCGACTCGATGAGGGTTTCGGCCTCGTACCCAGCTTCGCACAGCTCCATTAGATGAACTGTGTACTGAGCTACCTCTGGAAACTGAATGCAGATCGATAAGAGAATCTAAGTTAGGAAATCAGTCTAGCGAACTAAAGAATCACCACGCATACGACGGACCGAGGATATTAAATGTCAAGCACATGTTTGGACCAATGACTAGGGATGCTATCAAACGAACAGGAAGGTGTGATCACGCAAAATTTAGCCTAACGTACACCAACGAATTTCGGCATTCCTGAGAAAAAGTGTAAATTATGCTGAAGAGTGGGGAAGACTCTCTGTGAGACACACTGAAGGTCGAGCGGATACTGGACCCGATATTAGAAAAAAGTCATTTATGGGAGCTGTTGTGGAGTATCAGCATATCTGAATTTCCGACATTTCGGAGCATCTTGATGAAAACTCTCCCATCACTAGCAGAGAATACGTGGATGAAAGAAACTGCGTCAACGCCGCGAAATAAATTTTGCAATACTATTTTGACATTTCACCCTCGTTTTGGGACTCGGCAGGTAGTATTGTAGTTTCCATCAATCTCATGTTCTGTTCAAACCCCAAGTACACATATATTGAGGAATGCTCCCAAGACAAGAGAAACAAACGAATCCCGGTGAAGCTCGCCAATGATGCTTCGCTTCAAAGGAATGCTCAACTGAAACGGAAGTTTGACGGGAACTCAGGAAGTGCACCAAAATGACGAGAAATAACTGATGACGAGAGTGGCACAAGTGGTCGTGAGCTGCCAGAAACCTCACGCCAACCAACTAAATAGTGACGATATGACTGCTGATCCTGCTGAGCAAATAATGTAGTATTTGAAATTGTGACGATCATCCATGTTAAGATAGGATTCTGGCTGCAACTGCTGACAATTCTGAATTTAAAGAAAGAAAAACCTATCGAAACGGTTTTAGGAAATCTGAAATCAGTCAAACAACCTTGTTTGTCGATAGTTAACCAAAGTTATAAAAGTTAGTCATCCGAAAAGGGAAGTGTCTGGGTTGTTTTACATGTGCATTTCAGTAAACGTCCTATATAGAGAATGGTTTTTGTGAGGTTCATTAACAGATCTTCGAACCACTGGAACCATGACACAGAAAAAATGGAATAGAAACATCAACATGAACTTGAGCTTATCCTTCCACCGTTTTCGTCGCAGATTTCCGTTGGTTGGATGTCAATTTGTTCGCTCAATGTTCCTCGAAACTGTTCGATTTGAATAACAATACTAGTAACTTTTGCCAGATTAGCTGGCCAAATGTTGCTTCACCACACACATATGGACCCAAGTCACGACTGTCCCGTGTCACTTCCGATGAAAATCTTTCTGTCGTGGTTATCGGTTTAGACCAGCTGGGTGTTCATTCATGACAGGAAGGTCAAAAGAGCCTACCGGACGATCAAAGAAGCTGAACTGAACTCACCTAAACTGAAGTAAAATGAAATGAAATGAAGACATCTTAATTCAGCTGCTGTCAATCTTGGTTCATTTACATTTACACTCCAAGTAATTGGATAGGTTATTCCAGAACACGTCGGATTGTTTTTTATTCTGATTAAACCGCATCACTTCCCGCGTTCTATGTTCCACCTTGGTGATAGCGGCATAGACATAAACTTGCTTCGGAAACTCACCCACCACCTCTTGAAAACCATGTTTCGAAATGACCATCAAAAGACAAGAAAAGTACGATATTGCTAGTGATGTCAGTACCAGATTTGCCCCGAATAGCCTACCGAACAGGTATTTTGCTTGCATTGATTCTCGTCTGCGGCCAAGGGTGAATGCAATGACCGATAAGGAATAAATATTTTTTCACGCATGTTTGCGCACAACACAAAGTCAACTCACCTGCTGAATTGTGAAGCATCGCGTCTGGAAATGGCCAAATACTGCCTTGAAACACCTGAGCTCATCCCTCCTGGACAAGCTCTTTACCGTCGGCTTATGGTGGATCATCACATCCATGACGATGTCGTATAACGTCTCCTTGACGACGTGGCGAAGCTATGAATAGTGAGAGGAATAGTTGTGGAAGATTGTCGTGAGACTTCAAAATGTTTCATTAAATGGCCGCTAAAATACTAAATTGATTATGGTTTGCCCGCTCCCGTGCATCATCAGCAGGCATTCTGCACTGAACAAATCAATTCTCATCCATAATGATCTTCATATCGTGCAATTAGTTGCTTTTCTGAGACGATTTGTAAAAAAAAATTACAAACCTGAAGTGCACGTTGAAGGTTTCGCCAAGCAGTTTCGTGTTCTTCCTCGGTTGCCGCCTCTATCAGGCATCGAGATATTGAAAACAAATGCACACGGGGAGCTGGTTTCCTATCTGCAACTTTCGGCTGGAACGAAGAAAAAGTTTCGTGTCTTCCTCGGTTGCCGCCTCTATCAGGCGTCGAGATATTGAAAACAAATGCACACGGGGAGCTGGTTTCCTATCTGCAACTTTCGGCTGGAACGAAGAAAACAATTATGCAACATATACCGACAACGGGAGCTCTGTAAATGCCGCTGGGAGAAATGTCTTCCTCGACCACTCACCATTGAGGAGAAACTACCGGTCTACCTACCTACCGACCTAACTACCTACTTACGTACCTACCCACCTAACTACCTATCTATCTATCTATCTATCTATCTATCTATCTATCTATCTATCTATATACCACTCTATACATGAGCCCACCAGTTAAGATGTCCATCTTTACGTCTGCTTGACTGTCAATGTTATATATATCTGACAATTTTCTGTCCATTCATCTACCTGCTTCTCGGTCTTTGTGTGAATCGCTCTGGAATTATGTATATATGTATTTACGTATGAGTAAATTTAGGTATGCATGTTTGCCTCTTTATGTGTAAGTGTATGTTTATGTATTTTTTATGCGTCACTCTATCCGAGAAGCTGACAATTATGTGGCGGACCGGGTATTACATAGTTCATATTTGTGCACCAGTCACCTTGTTCTCACTATCGAATAAGGAGTAGTCCTATGGTAGCATGACTCATGTACCCAAATTTTCTGAATAAAACTGACAAAACTTAACTAAAGTAAATTCCTCTAGACGGTGGAAGTAACACCTATTTGGGAAACGAAATACAGAGCCTGACTAATACGTAGATTGTACGAAAAGGTAAGTGCCTTCCCTCAACACGAAGGACTGTGCTGCTATTGACTCGGATGATGGGAAGCGCTTCTGCGTCTGAACTGATTGACACGATCGATTACAAAGCAGCCCAACGTCCTAAGCTACCATTTGACTTCCGAGTGGTACTTGGTTACCTTCACATATTATGGCAAGCAAGGGTTGTTAAAATGGACAATATAAAACATAGAAAATTGCTTGAACACATACTGCTTTGACCACATCATTTCGCTGCATCAGTAGATCATAGTGACCTTGGAACTTTCCAACTGGGAGACTTCCCATCGCCTGGAATGAACAACAAAGACTCACCGTTCAGGTCCATGAGGGAATTAAAAATTACACTGCCAATCTGCGATGAAGACCAGAGTGCAACATCCGATTTACTGGCGTACATTTTGAATGTACGCTTGATAGTAGACGCTAGTTCAGAAAGCAGTGAGCTCCCTCCGTTTTGTTGCCTGTCACCTACTAAAATTGCGTAAATTAATTCAATGCACAAACCAAGCTTTCCGACATCTCGGGAATACTAATTGAACGAAATCATAGAATCACTGTTTTTAACAGAGCAGGTTTTATTGCCACACAAACTATTCGGCAAAAAGTACAAATACATCGTTTCCCACTGATGTGCAGACAGAAATGGTTCTTGGGTTGCCTTGAAACCTGAATATCTGATTGAATCATATAATTCAGATAGAGAGTTTGTGAAACTCTTCGTCAGTTTCTAAAGTTTTAAATTGAATCGCACCACGGTGAATCTGTGACGTCCTCATATCGATCGTTTGTAACCGTGTCATTGTGCACTTTTGCTCTGGGCCGCAAAGCAGAACTTTAGCATTCGATTGCATATTCCGCCCCTTTGAGTGAAGCCAATTTGTGCCGAGAAACCGAGAATCATTTTATAGGCATCTGATCCCCTATTGGGAGTCAGAAGCAGTGCGCATCTCACTTCAGCAGGTGATGAGGAACCGGCGGCTTTCCGGAAAATGACTGAATACTTAACTCTTCGACCACAAGGGGTTCATCAGCATTGTGACTGGCTCTCACTTAGCACGCAGCGTCGCTCATCGCTCAATCAAGGAAAACCTCAGCACGTGGCGACCTGTAGGATTACTCCACGAATAAAAACTTCTCAGATGAGAGTTTCAGTCATCGTGTAAATTTATTCTCCCCTGAGTTACCCGCGGATGATTCATGTGGATATGAGTGCCTTCTATTGAGCACGAGGTCTCCACGGCCAAAGCCTGTTTATCCAAAAGATGACACTGGCTAGGCTGGCATATCTAGATACCTGGACTAGCTGCGTTGCTGAAATTCATCTATGAAACATGGAGTCCCTTGTAAACTTTTTTCAACCCTGACCGCCATCTTTCAGTAATAACGAAATACAAGTGTCATCTCGACAGATGCACTCATTTTCATAACAGTTTTGTTACTCAGCAGAATCTCTCCGCGGCATCTTGTGACTCACCATATCACCGTACTTCATCACGTGACTAGCTGCTGTCCTCTTTTTCACCTCCTCGTATTGTTGTTCTAGTGTACGCTTTTTCAGGTCACTCTGTGCGCCGGAGGGGATGAATGGGTGAAGCAGACGGATCAGCTTACGCAATTTTAAGATGGACCCAATAAAGTCAAAACAAGTGAAACCATTAGAGGTAAGGAAAACAAGTTATGGGACGACACATACTACTGCCAAACAGGTGATCATTCCACTGTTCCAAGACATCGTACACGTACAATGCAACATTTTCGTAGAACCATTGATTCCCCTCTGTCCACTTCTTGGTTTATGTCTCTCCGGACTGTGTATGGATTACAACACTTCTCTCGGCATCGTCTAATCGAGCATGCATAACATATGACCACGTCAACTTGATTTGCAATGTTGGATGAATTTGTGGAAGGAAATATTGCGTGCTAGGGCAATGTGTGAATATTAGTTATTTAATATTAGGCAGAATACGCGAGAAAATAGGAGGACTTAAATTGCGATACCGTGACACCGGAATGGTTGTCTATTCAAAGGAAATTGCTGCATACTTTGTTTAGTGCTTCATTTCGACAGATTTTTTGAGAACAGTGTTCAGGAAGTCCATCGTTATCATCTTCATCATGAGCATTAGCATCATCCTAAGCGAATTATCAGTGTTTGTAGCTGGTACTTATGCTCGAGTGTCTTTTTTCGGGTATTCGGTGTGCAGAACATTCCGCGTGCGTAAAACATGGCCTAGCCAACTTGCAAAGTTAATTCTGACGAATCACAATGCACTCCGCTCTAGCAGAACGCTATACTCATAAGCATGTTAGGGATTTGAGGCTTTGGGTTGATCATTATCATCATTATTATCAGCTTCCGTTTTCAAGATTCACGCTTCCCTGTGTGCATGCAAAATTCCTCTGAGGTCTTATTAAAAAGAAGAGAATCAAAATGGATGGGAAAGTGACTTGTTACTTGCCTACAAAAATCACGACAACTATTTACATGCAGCCACATGCACTCACCCTGGCGATCTAAATTGAAAGTGACAAGAAGTACTCCAATGACATTGATACCAAGGCATACTTTGCAGCGTCTCTAACAAGTACGAGTGAGAATCAGGCGGTATCTAATCAAGGGACTGAGTTATACTGATAACATTCAGACTTTCGACAACAACTTTCATATCTTTCGTCGAGGTCACATGCGGAACTGATCGGAAGGCGAGTGAGAACTTTTGACATCCAACCAATGGTCTCATCATTTTGGGGCTGCGGGGGTCGAGTTTGCTGGATTTAAAAAAAATTCTTCATGACTGAAAAGAAAGTTGGAGGTGGCTGTGTCGGTTGGAGGGCGCTGATCGTTGTGGTGTGGTGGTGGCTGAAAGTAGTCATTTACGGGAATAAATGGTTTTAAAAGAATAACCACCAGTCTCATAAAAATTGCCATAAAACTGATGTAAATGTTTGCCAGTACGGGGCGGGTCAGCGATGCAAGCTAGACCAATCCAGAAAGTAAACATTTCACAACGTTATTCCGCGTGCTCTTTCGTATGCTAAGGTTGAATTTTGCAATGAGTGGCGGAACCTTCAAATATTATGTTGCAGCGTATGCAACATACTGAGACATATTAGCGTTTTGATTGACAGCTCAATAGACACAAGCATCGATGTGCAAGACTCATCATCATCATCATCATCATCATCATCATCTTCATCATCGACAGCATGCATGAGTGTTCAACACCGATGCTTCACTGCCGTAATCTGCAAGACTAGGAGATGCTGATCAGCATACGTATGAACCGCGAGGAAGCAGGGGGTTACAAAAGTCAAGATAAAACCTTGGGCCGAGTGTTCACAGATGTCAAATGTATCTGCCGACTTGCAGAAACCTCAGCTTCTGCTGTCACCCGAAGATTAACACTTACTGCGACAGTGTGGCTAACTCATTGGAAATAAAAATAATGGGTGGTTAACAAAACCAAATGGACCACCACTGGGTGTTGCCGACCACAGAATTATCTATTTACAACCGACAGGCTTATCTGCAACAGTCATAAAACTCACGTGTTCTGAATCGGTAATCCAGGCATACGAGTATTCGGTCGCTAGACAAACACCGATTCGCTTATCCTCACATAAAACAGCCCAGCTTTCTTCGTTCTCGTTGGCTGATGTTGTCACGTAGACTGCAGTTTTAAAAGTGGAAACAGTAGATAGTATAGATGAATATCTAAAACGTGTGAAAAAGTGGGTAAATTATTGGCGAGCTCGTAGTGTTACAGAAATCGTGAGACTCCAAAAATTCGAATATTAGCACAGTAAACTGCCGTTCGCTGAAAAAACCTTTGACAGAACACTATGATTTTCACGCTTCGTAGGGTCGGTCTGGAAGGAGCAGTCCTCGAGTCTCCACCAATCATAATCACTTCTTGAAACCAGACTCGACGGACCTCGTCAAACATGGTTTGGTCGGGCCGTGAAAACTACATCAGTATGTAGACACATAACATAATTTTCCTCTGGTAAAACTCCATCAGCCTCGATCACTGACGAGATTGGTAAAACGGTGGTAACGTTACTGGTATTATAGCTGCTGTTGGATCCAAGAAAATGTACTTTCTATAAAATATTCACGCTTCATTTCTAATTTACCAATACTGTATCCACGTGGTTGCAACGGAAGGACCCAAATAGCACAGGTGTTGCACCGATATTATAGGGACTTCTTTAAACCAGCTGAAACTAGGTCAGCATTCGATGACGTTATTCGGTAAAAGTAGGGTGTTGTTCACTATCCGGCTAAAGTCTTCTTGGCGATGACCAAAAAACACTTCCATTCACGGATCATAAAAGAACAAGCAGGAACCATGCATGAAGCTTCGTTTTGTTCTATTGGCCAGTGCGGTATTTTAACCATATGTGGGGTAAATTGTGGATGCTATTTCACAGGATCCCCACGAGTGTCAACCAAAAAATTACGCTACTTACTTCCCACATTTGGAGGAATAAGACCCATGAACATGGAGCCAGAGTAGCAAGCATCCATGTAAAACATGAGTTTGTTATACTTTTTCTTTGCATGCAAGTGGAGGAGAATATCGTTCAATTCCGCAACAGTGAGCTGTCGCAATGCAAAAAGGGAAATTCGTGAGCTCGAACGATTATAATTGAGAGATTAATGAGTTTTTGAAAAGCCAAATGGATACTCCTGTACCACGTGACCGTATTTTAATGAATGCAGCCTTGCGTTAAGTAAATTGCAACAAAAGTTTAGTACTGCATGTTGAGAAGTGAAATGACATCCTGTAAGTCAAGACAATCTGTGGAGAGACGTCTAGCCCTAATCATATTAGACGAAATGTTAATGATTTCCATTGAAATAAAAAATTTCAAATGTCGTCCCACTACTTACACACTGTAATCAGTACAGAAGAAACAATGAATGGCTTTAGTATATGAGTTGTCATTCCAGTAGTAAGTCACCAGTGATGTGGTTCCCTAGACTGAGGGATGAGCGACGGACAAATCAGGCTGCCGGTTGACCGCCCTTGTCCGAACAGTCATTTTTTGCAACCGTCATGCGCATCCCTGGTAATTCCCAATAAGTATGAAGCAGTTATACATTGCTCCCCGGCTTTCCATCACAGACTGCAATTTCATACATAGTATACGAGGACCAATTCATATTAGCAAACATTCGCGCTGTCTCTCAAATAGTAAAAATAAGAACATTTGTCTTCGTCCCATCTACGCCTCATGAGTGACCGTATACAACCTGCATCTTCGTTTGTTGTACCTACGCTTGTTCAACTGTCTAAAGGGATCAACCGCTGGATCATGTGAATTAAGTCACCCTGAACTCAGCAAAAGGAAATCTATGTAACATTATTAATATAGACCTTTACGCGGCCTGCCGAACTTGACAGTTACCGACGCCCGAACGTCGTAGCTTCCCTTCCATCATTCGGTGGTTGTGTATGCAGTTGTAACTATACACATATTTATGAGGAACCACGTGTGACTATTCGTCTCTTCACATTGTTGACAATTTAGCCTCCTTTTGAGTGGCTGTGTGTGATGACCGTGGTTATCAAATTTATTGGAACTTACATGTCCTTCCGGGAACGTAACAAAATTGCGGAAACCATGGCCAGAGAAGTAGATGAAAAGGTTGTCATCAGGACCGCTGCCAGTAGACGGGAAAGTTAAGGTTTTCTTGAAGATCAGTTTATTGGGCGGCGCTTTTGCGCATCGAAATTCACAACAAAAAAGTCGCGGAAATGGAAATTCGATCGTAATATCCCCAAAATTATGTTTTTTTTCCATGAGTCGCAGAAGACGGGTTGTAACGTAAGCGGCATTGTCCAACTGATGATCAAGGAAATCAGACGAGTGTAAAAAGTTCTACAGTTCATTTCTGTCTGTGGCGTAGGATTATGCTGTGTAAAAAAGATATGCACAATTTTGCGTCACTTATCCTCACATTTCCTGTGCGGTCTATCCGTCGAGCACTTTACACCAAGGAAGCAAATAGATAACGGGCGGGCACGTCAAAATATTGTTTGGTACACGCTACCGGATACAACGGGCTGGTAGATAAATATCCCATTAGTGGACTGTTTGCATGACCACATGCATTTAGGAAAGGAATATGGATTTTTTGAACGCCTGTTGGTTTGCTTTTGTATCACGCGAAACACTAGGTCCTTTGGCTTNTAAATTATTGGCGAGCTCGTAGTGTTACAGAAATCGTGAGACTCCAAAAATTCGAATATTAGCACAGTAAACTGCCGTTCGCTGAAAAAACCTTTGACAGAACACTATGATTTTCACGCTTCGTAGGGTCGGTCTGGAAGGAGCAGTCCTCGAGTCTCCACCAATCATAATCACTTCTTGAAACCAGACTCGACGGACCTCGTCAAACATGGTTTGGTCGGGCCGTGAAAACTACATCAGTATGTAGACACATAACATAATTTTCCTCTGGTAAAACTCCATCAGCCTCGATCACTGACGAGATTGGTAAAACGGTGGTAACGTTACTGGTATTATAGCTGCTGTTGGATCCAAGAAAATGTACTTTCTATAAAATATTCACGCTTCATTTCTAATTTACCAATACTGTATCCACGTGGTTGCAACGGAAGGACCCAAATAGCACAGGTGTTGCACCGATATTATAGGGACTTCTTTAAACCAGCTGAAACTAGGTCAGCATTCGATGACGTTATTCGGTAAAAGTAGGGTGTTGTTCACTATCCGGCTAAAGTCTTCTTGGCGATGACCAAAAAACACTTCCATTCACGGATCATAAAAGAACAAGCAGGAACCATGCATGAAGCTTCGTTTTGTTCTATTGGCCAGTGCGGTATTTTAACCATATGTGGGGTAAATTGTGGATGCTATTTCACAGGATCCCCACGAGTGTCAACCAAAAAATTACGCTACTTACTTCCCACATTTGGAGGAATAAGACCCATGAACATGGAGCCAGAGTAGCAAGCATCCATGTAAAACATGAGTTTGTTATACTTTTTCTTTGCATGCAAGTGGAGGAGAATATCGTTCAATTCCGCAACAGTGAGCTGTCGCAATGCAAAAAGGGAAATTCGTGAGCTCGAACGATTATAATTGAGAGATTAATGAGTTTTTGAAAAGCCAAATGGATACTCCTGTACCACGTGACCGTATTTTAATGAATGCAGCCTTGCGTTAAGTAAATTGCAACAAAAGTTTAGTACTGCATGTTGAGAAGTGAAATGACATCCTGTAAGTCAAGACAATCTGTGGAGAGACGTCTAGCCCTAATCATATTAGACGAAATGTTAATGATTTCCATTGAAATAAAAAATTTCAAATGTCGTCCCACTACTTACACACTGTAATCAGTACAGAAGAAACAATGAATGGCTTTAGTATATGAGTTGTCATTCCAGTAGTAAGTCACCAGTGATGTGGTTCCCTAGACTGAGGGATGAGCGACGGACAAATCAGGCTGCCGGTTGACCGCCCTTGTCCGAACAGTCATTTTTTGCAACCGTCATGCGCATCCCTGGTAATTCCCAATAAGTATGAAGCAGTTATACATTGCTCCCCGGCTTTCCATCACAGACTGCAATTTCATACATAGTATACGAGGACCAATTCATATTAGCAAACATTCGCGCTGTCTCTCAAATAGTAAAAATAAGAACATTTGTCTTCGTCCCATCTACGCCTCATGAGTGACCGTATACAACCTGCATCTTCGTTTGTTGTACCTACGCTTGTTCAACTGTCTAAAGGGATCAACCGCTGGATCATGTGAATTAAGTCACCCTGAACTCAGCAAAAGGAAATCTATGTAACATTATTAATATAGACCTTTACGCGGCCTGCCGAACTTGACAGTTACCGACGCCCGAACGTCGTAGCTTCCCTTCCATCATTCGGTGGTTGTGTATGCAGTTGTAACTATACACATATTTATGAGGAACCACGTGTGACTATTCGTCTCTTCACATTGTTGACAATTTAGCCTCCTTTTGAGTGGCTGTGTGTGATGACCGTGGTTATCAAATTTATTGAAACTTACATGTCCTTCCGGGAACGTAACAAAATTACGGAAACCATGGCCAGAGAAGTAGATGAAAAGGTTGTCATCAGGACCGCTGCCAGTAGACGGGAAAGTTAAGGTTTTCTTGAAGATCAGTTTATTGGGCGGCGCTTTTGCGCATCGAAATTCACAACAAAAAAGTCGCGGAAATGGAAATTCGATCGTAATATCCCCAAAATTATGTTTTTTTTCCATGAGTCGCAGAAGACGGGTTGTAACGTAAGCGGCATTGTCCAACTGATGATCAAGGAAATCAGACGAGTGTAAAAAGTTCTACAGTTCATTTCTGTCTGTGGCGTAGGATTATGCTGTGTAAAAAAGATATGCACAATTTTGCGTCACTTATCCTCACATTTCCTGTGCGGTCTATCCGTCGAGCACTTTACACCAAGGAAGCAAATAGATAACGGGCGGGCACGTCAAAATATTGTTTGGTACACGCTACCGGATACAACGGGCTGGTAGATAAATATCCCATTAGTGGACTGTTTGCATGACCACATGCATTTAGGAAAGGAATATGGATTTTTTGAACGCCTGTTGGTTTGCTTTTGTATCACGCGAAACACTAGGTCCTTTGGCTTTTATGGTACGAAGATGGTTGAAGGCAGTTTACCGCTTGAGCTGGTTTAATCAAATTGCAATTGAAACGGTGACACTCGGCCCTTTCCAAATCACACTCTGACCAGCATAATTAATTCAGCTTATGAAAATATCCCCATGGCGCATTCACTACTGAGAAACAATATTATAATCAAGATGAGACAAACCTATATTCCGAACACGGGCACCCACGTGGCCATATGTTCCGTTTGTTGTTCGTTGAACAAGAGGATGCCCATCTGTTCTCTGATCGTAGAAATAGGCTTGCAAATGTTCCGTCGCCAACCAACGTGACATCATGAGTGAATGGTTGGATCGGCAGTTCATCCATAACTCTCTGATATTATGCGTTGAGCAAGAGAGTGCCCATCTGTCCGCTGTATTCCCAGAATATGCCTAACGTCACATTCTGTCTGAAAATGTACTTGCTGTGTATGAACTGCATTCCCAGGAGTAGAGTATGTTGTGTCGGCGTACCATTTGTTCATGGTCTGAGTGATCAAGTGCCGATTTCTGTTGTGACACGGTCTCCTTCCTCACATTTGATTGGTTATCAATTCGACTTTTGCGTTTGGTAGTTCATTTTATTTGGTTAGTTCTGATTGACTTTTGTGCTGTAGCTAGATGTTTCGGAGTTTGTTTGAGTGTAGGCTCTTGCCGGTGATAACACTTTTCATTTTACAAGTGACTATATCGCCATAATTTACCTATTACAAAGGACATCTTTCCGTCTGCATCTCAAGGAACGACGTGCGGGATCGGAAAATCTTAATCGGTCAACACACACAAAGAATGAGTGACAACGGATAGGGCCGCAATTCCGATTCCACACACTGTATAGACGAGGGAAAGAGATATATATGATTTGTGAGTGACCACACGTTTTCCTACATTTGTAAGCTAGAGGCTCCAAGCATTTTCATATGTGGGTCAGGAAACCGTAAAAAGATTCTCAGAATAAAAACCGTGGTATTACCAAGCCACATGCAACCTAAGGCGAGGCAGATATTCTAAAAGCGGCGATACAGATTTGACGAACTACTATTCAACCAATCGAAAGGACTGCAGCTATGCTTCGATTGTCGATTATTCGTGTTTGAGGCAACACACTGAGCAAAAGAAAATCCTGAATCCGAGCGATGCAAGATCGACCGGCTCCAAGTCGCACAAAACCGGGAAGATATTTGATCACTCACAACTGAGCATATCAAAATATTTTCGAAACTTGTTAACAGTGGCATTTGATGCATATGCTATTATAATAGCACATAGTCTGGGACTGATTAGCCTTGTTTCTCTTGGAGTAAGTCAAAACTTTTAGAATGCTTTCTAGGAGCTTTACTTAAAGAGATTATGTATCGCGTAACTTACGGGAATACTAAACACGTGTTTTGTAAATCCGAAAAAGCTCAGCAGCCGCGCTAGAACCTCGGCTATGATCAACAAGTCAAGCAACAATGTCTACTTCCACGCGAACTTACCTTTTCAGCACCTTCTTCCCTTCTTCTTCAAGTCTTTTATCGCCTGTCATTACTTTCGTGAAGATATATGGTTTGACGTCCTGAAACAGAAAACACGCACAATCAGTAATTTCTGTGACATTGGTGTTTTCCACATTTATTTTACTCGCAGTAACGATCCATTTACAGTCTACCAAAGCATGAGAAATCCAGGGTCTGCTCTCTAACTTCACCCATACTTCTTTCGTGATGGTTCCTTAATGATGAAAACCTAAATCTTGATTTTGGATGAGGTTGACGAGCATGGCATTTGAATCAGACAGGTTTCCAAGACGAACTCCGATTGAAACAAATGGCCATCCTGATTCAGTGTCCATCGAATAGTGTTTGTCAATGGCGAATCCAGGAGGCAACACAATTCCCAGAAGATATTCGACACATAAATTTCATGAACGACCATCCGTATCTGGTTTTTTCAATGACACACACTGAACACCCGTGGTATTTCTTTTGACAAGAACGCTAGCTCGGAAGGTTGGTGTCGAGAACTAAACTGTGAAAATTCCGTTATTACAATTTCAAGTAAATTTGCCATTCTGTAATGTAGTAAAACTGCTTAGTCTGCCCTATATTTACTATTGTGTTTTTATACGCAGAGTCATATTACTTGCTCCTTGCGTAACACGGTGAACAAATTCATTTTATTGTCACACACGAACATACTTTTCCACGGTAGTCAATTATCACACCCTCGTAAACATCTTTGTGCTCGTAGTCGTGGAACACTTTGCCCTTGAACGGATTCCTGGAATAAAAGAATAAAAGCTGGCAATGTGACCTTTTGAAAGAGTTTAACATGGAGGTCAAATAGAAGGGATTGAAATGCCCGTAGTTTCCATTTGGAACCACATGGTGCACTCTAGCTGTAATGTTAACTGATTTATAGATCCCACAATTATTCCTGTAGGTAGACAACATAGAACGTCACACATTCCGTGTGAAAAGGTAATTCTCTTGTGCAAATATACAGTTAAACTCTCGTAGTAACAAATTCTATGAGCATACCCTCACCAAGTGCCCTTGAATGTAATTCAGTTAACCATTGAACGACTTTCGATTATTACAGCCTCTTAGCAAGAAAGATTCTTTCGAAGTTTTACGCCACCAAGCAATCGGCTGTATTGCAAAATGATGTCTGCAAGGTTGTCCGCTTAATACTTGCTCAAATTAATCAGCCAGCTGATGCCCTGAAACGGCATATTGGCATAGATGTTATTAATTTCAGAATACTGACAATCGTAATGAAGTTAAAGTTCCCTATTCACCGGCTAGGATAGACCGCAATGGTTGCACATTGATCTGGTAACGATTGTGGCGATTGCATCAGCGTAAATGACATGACAGTGTGTAAACTTTATGATGCATCCCGAGTAATGCGCAACCGCAATTATCTTCATGATTTGCATCCGTGAAACGTACGTCTCAAAAATGGCAGAATCTAAAGCTGAATAGAAAAAAACGATTCTCACATTTTGCTTAATATCAGATGCTAAAAATTGTGCGTGATGTTTACTTGGGATTGTTGGCAATATCGTCGTAGGCGAGGGTAATTATATTCTCTGCTGGAATTTTGTTTGCACGCAACATGTGATAAGCGTGATAAACGTTCGCCTGAAAATAAATATAAGTTACACGTGAACAAAGGGTAAAAATCAGAGTATGGCAGAAAGGCAAAACATGGCTAGCAGAGTGCCTAGCTTCGTGCACGCATGGTGGAGTATCAAACCTCCAAAAGATATTTGGATGCATTATCTCTGCCCAATATATTAGATGTAACATACTCGCATGTATCTCGTTTGAATCGGCGCGGCAACTAACTGGTCGTCATTTTTTGGCTGTTTTAGGGCGGAAAGACAATGTTTGGGACTTTTAATCACGATTGTATCATTATCTGAAGCCATGCTCTTTCAAAACGTCCACGTTCACTACGCAGTTGACGCATCGTTATTGAGAATTATCTGTAGTGTGAACCTCATGCTTCTTCGGAAAGCACCAAACCTCCTACTTCCCGCAAATTACCAGGCTGCGCCGATTGGTCTGGTTGTGGTGGTTTTATTTCTCCAAGGAAAAAATACCTCAAATCGTCGTAAGTATAGTCAATCTAAATTTATTGTTGATACTGTTTCGCTGCATTGGGTTTATCAGTTTCTTCGGACTTCGTTACAGGAGACAAGTTTCCATCATGGCTACTACGTCAGACTTTACAGAATGCTTTGTAGATAATCCGCTCGAATTAGTCACTCATATACCTCTTAGAATAATAAATAAAGTAAGTCAATTTTGCAACAAAATGGTGTAAATCCGGTGACGAAATTCATTCCGAAAGTGCATTCCTGACTCGTCCGGTAGAAACGCCTCCAATATTGGAAAGTGTTGCATATGGCTGTTATAGTGGCTGGATGGCCTCCACGGTCGTCAATCTTCATCACCTCTCAATGTCGTCGGGAGCAGCTGTTCATCCGCGTAAGAAAAAAATCAATCCATATTTTCCATCAGACCAATCTGTCTTCTCATATAAACTGAGCAGTGATAATTGTTGATCATGAGATTTTGAATCGGCTTTCACGACATCATCCAGCCTGATCACCATCGATGTATACTTTAAACATAGCAAATTCCTCACGTCGTTATGTGTAGCAAACTGATGGTGCCTCATTGACCAACAGATGGAGGTCGGTCTTTTCCTAGCCTACTGTTTCTCTAACCTAAAACTAGGATCATCATATAACCACAGATAACACCCTTGGCATTGAAAGATGTTTCACCCATGACCCCTGCGGATGAAGCAACCTACTGAAAGCACCCTCAGGATTGCTCCCATTCACCTGTTGTCACTATTGTCACTCGAAATGAAAATATACTGTATCTGTGTCTTTCAGAGAGAAATTCAACCTCACAGAGGCATGACGGTTTGTGCGCCTCAACAACCCACTGATTAGTGTATATACGACACTTATAAAGAGTTTCATATTTCCTGCCCAATAGGTTGTAGCTGCTTAGTTTGTGTTTGCGAACAGACGACTTCTCGGTGAAGTGTACTCCTCCTTAAACTGGTAGCACCAAAGCCTAAGTTCAATGATGAGTAAGCGGAAGAAACTGCAACTGAAGCATTCCTTTCCTCCTTCTCTCGCGTGTATCAGATATTTACGCTCCCCTAAACCGGTGGTAGCGACACCAACGTAGGCATATTTTTAATATCTGAGGGCTCCGTTTTTAATTCCATCGTCGTCAGTTAGGTCGCCACAGCCTTGGACCCTCCGATATTATTCATTAGATCATGTATGGATGTCTAATTTTTGCGCCGCATCCGTGTTCGCTGGGCAAGTTTCCCGTTCTACCGAAATGACGATTTAAATCCCAAAAAGTTTTCCGTACTGATCTCTACATTAGTTTCCGTTGCCTCTTAATTGCGCTCCTCTCCTGCGCCGCTGCTGCTTCATAAACAGGGGCTCTTAAACTGGAGCACCAAAGCCTAAGTTCAATGATGAGTAAGCGGAAGAAACTGCAACTGAAGCATTCCTTTCCTCCTTCTCTCGCGTGTATCAGATATTTACGCTCCCCTAAACCGGTGGTAGCGACACCAACGTAGGCATATTTTTAATATCTGAGGGCTCCGTTTTTAATTCCATCGTCGTCAGTTAGGTCGCCACAGCCTTGGACCCTCCGATATTATTCATTAGATCATGTATGGATGTCTAATTTTTGCGCCGCATCCGTGTTCGCTGGGCAAGTTTCCCGTTCTACCGAAATGACGATTTAAATCCCAAAAAGTTTTCCGTACTGATCTCTACATTAGTTTCCGTTGCCTCTTAATTGCGCTCCTCTCCTGCGCCGCTGCTGCTTCATAAACAGGGGCTGCTATTGTTCTAGTTCATTAGATGGTGATTGGATGGTCATCGGATGGTCTACGGTATTGATAGTAGCTTTCTGCAACACCTCGGTGAATAACCAGAAAATGCCTGTATATTACTGTGGTTGTCAATGACATGAATGCACAAGCAGTTGTACTTAGCAATTTCGTGACTCATTTGAGTGGATGCAGAACCGCAGTTGAAATGCACGGAGATAGTTACGTGTTAAACAGGGGCGGGAGTAACTTCCGGAACAACCTAAGGCGCCTTGCCCTATGGCGCTCCCTTACAAAAACCAACCTGAAGCACAGACGGACCATATCGCTATAAGCTATGTGTGGCGTTACTATTTATGAAACACCAGTGTACACACGGACCAAACGATTTTCCTTCGCTAATTTATGTTGCGCGATTGCTGCGTTCGAATGATGAACACATCTCAGGTGACTATTAGGAAGCTTTCGATACCTAAGTTTGAACAAGTATATCAGAATCAATATTAATGTCCCTCCCGGATATGGCGACTTCCGATGTTAACTATTGAAAAGTGCTGTCTTCGTGATGCTGGCCACACTCTTGTGGAATGGTGCAACAAATTAGATGAGAGTAATGGATCTGGGCCAACGATCTGAATTTCTGCGAAAATTGACGAGTTTCATCAAGGTAGAGAGCACAATATCACCCAACTAACTGTGTGACTTGTGGTATGCAAACATCACCTGCGTCGGTTGAGAAATTTGGTGGACCAGACAAGTCGAGGAAGCAAGAAACTCTTGGGGTGTGCTCTCCCTATGCCAGCCAATTCAAGCAACATACTCAAGGAGGCCTACCATGAGCCAAGCATTCACTGGTTACATGACAATTCATAAGACTAAATCTTTTTAACAACTAATTGACCGATTAAATGGAGCGTCTCTACTGGCGTCCTGACATTGTACGTGGAACCTGCAAAGGCTTTAGAAATATTCACACGCATGTTCTACCTAAAGAGTTATCAAGCTGCTGCTCTTGACCAAATCAGAATCACTCCGATTAAACAAAGGTAGCGAAGTAATTTGTCGTTGTTGGTCCAATTGATTTACTTTTCCTGGGCGAAAGAAACAGACTAAACAAGCTGATTCCATTCGATGAGGCCCTAAGTGGGTGTATCTGTTGGCGAATTAGCTTGACTTCTGTTGGGACAAGAATGTTTTCATTTACCTACTTTATGGCGTTTCACGTGTAAATTTGAATGCTATCCTAAGAACAGGAAGTGGGATTCCAGGCTTCCAGGGGTTATGTGAACCAAGCCTTTAACTTTCGTCAAGTGTCAGAACAATGACTTGCCTACACACTAAATCTTATTATTGGACACAGACACATTCAATATGCTTAACTTTTTGCATACGATTCTCACATAACCCCATGCAAATGAGGCACGAAGTAACGGATGCGTTTAATCAGAGTGGCGTTCACACGATCTTACCAAGTAGCGTACAATTATTTCCTCATATTGCATGTCAATTCCGGTGCTCTCGGAATTGATGTGTTTGGTGTAACAATTGATGTCGCTGCAACGAGAGTGGCCTTTTTTGTGATTTCTGAGCCACATTTTGTTAATCAGGTCACTCTAATTTACGGTAATGCGAAATTTTGGAGCGTCACACTAACATGATTAAGTCACATAGCAAGCTGGTGCTTGAAGATCACTTAATTTCTCGAAATTTCAATTTTTTATGCAAGAACACCCGGTACTCGCGGTCAGTTATTTAAACTAACATAACTCAACATAAAACACTCATCGTGACGATGTTTGCCTCCGACTAACGTGAATCACGGTATGGACCTCAGTAACATCTGATTTTCTTAGGTCGTTGGAATCCACCCCACACAGAATGAAATATCGTAGCACGACAACTATCTGCTGTCGAAAACGAATACTGGGCAAGAAATGTGGACCTATTAGATGTTGATTTGACCAACCATCTTTTTCAGTGAAACAACAGTGTCATATAGCTAATAGCTAATAGATAATAATAGATAATAGACAATAGATATAATAATATAGGTAGAACACAAGTGTTTGGGGTGCCAGTCGTGTGAAGTTCCCCTTGGAAAAACATTTGATGTGGACTTTAGAAAAAAGTTGGAAATCGAAACAATGAAAACAACGATAGAAACATACTTGATGTCGATAATTTACCCAAGTGTGGGAAGCAGCGACGAGGACAACCCAGTTCTTTGACGGCTTGTTGTTAAACATCAATGACAAATTGTGGACACCGGCGGCTTCCAAACATGCTACGCGGTCGATGCAGAAAAAGAACGCAAAAAGAAGCGGAAAACGTCGCATCATATCCATTCTCACTTGAAGATTTATCTACCTGGGATTTTATACTGTACGGTCGCTGTGAATCGAACTTCGCCCTGAATATGTATGGCAACGGTGTGAAAAAGCTATCCACCACAAATCTAATTGCACTCCGGTACAAAGTGTTTGCCATCCAATATACCGTCGGCACATTTGATCAGCGTGTTCAGTGGCTGATCATTTGCGCAAATATTTTAGAACAATCTGCGCACATTGGTGATTTGTAGTGTATTTTTTGAGGACAAATGTAGATCAATTCATTGAGCAGCTATGCGCTTCTGACAGTACTGAGCAGTAAACTGATTCCTTAAAATGATTGCACTTGTAACCTGGCTTCATTAGTGCATTTGCTGATAACTTGTTCCATTGAGACATTGATACGCTTTTAGGTCTTGTAACTCACCCAGTGAATTTTGCTATTGGCAGTAGGTTGCCATAAAATTTGACAAAAATTATAGGACTCAAGGGTTAACTTATCGAAAGCTTAATATTTACTCACTGCTTCGACTGTTGGTCTCATAATGCATCCGGTTGACATTAACTGGTGAAAACGAAGCATTAAACCAAGGAATCTACTCTTCTCTTCGCTGTTAGTTTACATAAAATTAAGAGGACCGCAAAGTAGAATCATTTAATGGCCTCCATCAAACCAGTAGCATGTTGCTCCAATATTTCGCTACTTTCCGTAATCTTTATTTTCAATTTTCGGAATTGGTGGTTGCGCGTTGCAAGATTTCCATTCTTGTCTTGCTCAGAACGCGATGTTAAAACTCAACAAACAATTCAAACTGAAATTATATGAATGAATTATTAGTATTTTTCTTTTTATTGGAAATACTTTTCGCAATTTAGAAGGCTCACCTACACACGGTGGCCATTTTCAATTTTGGGTGTTGATGGTGACTTGAATCTCTATGCATTGGATCCACAATTCTTGTAAAAAGCGGACTCATCAACTTGCGCTGTGATATTGGCTTACGTTCACACGTCCAGTCCTGACAACTCTAATGTTGGAGATAATCTACTGAAATTCAAGGTGATAAAATAGTAGTTTTCATATTGAAAACATGATGATTTTAGTAATAAATCAGCTACAGCGTCGCTTCGATTTGCAGCTGTCATAATGCCCGAGGGTATTCTAAGTTCCCCGGCTAACTGACTTGCGAAGGGAATATTCTATGTTTGAGACTAAGTTTAACATTGTTCCGAAGGTTTTGTTTCCTACTTGAAATATTAATAGGGGGTCCCCATCCACACGAAACGGTAATAGTTTTCTCGCATCCCCATTTCCCATTTCTCGCGTATTACTTCAGTCCGACTTCTACCCATGTACACTAGACTTTTTTTATGATCTGAACTTTAACTAGTATTTGACATTAACCAAGCGGATAAACACAACCATTCTCATCAGAATCATGGTCGGCGGCAGGTGATGCTGTTGCTTCGCTCTGTTACAAACAATTTGTTTGAAACCTTAGCGGAGAGAAAATAATAAATGTGGTGCTAGCTCACCACAATCATGCTTAGGTGCCTTGATCTTCGATCGTTTTTTCAAGCAAACTGGAGAAGGACTGAAAACAACACGCCAGTGACATCAATGGACATCAGTACCTCCGGCAGCGTTGGAACTTGAGTGAGGTTCAAAACAGGACTTTGAAAATCCGTGATTTCAGGGCCACGAATAAATTGCGTTCATTTATATTATTTACGCAAACCTATTTTAATATGGGGCTACATGAAATTTTTGTGTAACTACGGGCTGATAATGCTTCCCGCTCATCCATATGATGGTCTAATTTGTGATATTTTTTGTGCAATTTTAGTCACCTTTCTGAAAGCGTTCCATGAAAATCTGGATGTGTGTCTACAAGTTGGTGGTGGACACTGCACGACCGGGGATGTCCAATGCTATGCATTGGTTTCGGATTTTGAAGGTCATCATTCGTTTTGGAGGCTCTGCTTAAGATGTGCACATGTTATCGCTTTTCGGTCGGCTATTTTTGGAAAACATCATGTTAGCAGCGCAAGAGAAAACAAGCTTGCATAAGAAATCACACTGTGTTATCATACTCTCCCAATGTAGTGTAAGCAGACTACCCCACGTTGCACAATATGACGTTGTCCTCCATCTCCCACCCATATATTACACATTGGTTCAACAATGAAACAGTAGATAAAGTTCACCTGGTACCGTGGTCATCGACTTATTTGCAGTATACGCTTTTATGTCACAAAAATACCCGAATTCAACTTGTCATCGAAATTCAGAAGCTGGGAGCCTCGAAACCCGATACATATTCAACGCTATGATGCATCGAATCAGGGAATGTTATGCACGCCGATACTCCACTATTTCGGTCTGGTTGTCGCTCAATAATTCGCCCACTGAACAATCGTGTAAACGCTGGGCCAAGAACTGCAGATTAATAGCAAAATTGGTTCTCATTTTTGACTAGATAAATCGTCAGTCACTCTTAAACTAAAGAAGCCAAAATACATGATCACATGTAGACGGGCTCTTCATAACATGCTCCCACATTCGCTTTTGGGGCTGTTATTGTTAGAAAAAACCACGACGCGATGTACCGGCACACAAAAAACCAGTTTGTGTGAAATCACTGTTGGGTTTTCGTGCATCAGGCTAGCCTTAGAATGGCGTCAGCAGATGACTCCGCTTCGCAAGTCCTGACGTCAACCTCTGACTCCTGTTATATTGTACAGAGTTTCGGCAATAAAAAGGTAGACAAAGTTAGGTGACGTGACAAAATTCGGTACTGACGTGAATCGGGAACCATTGTGACCCTGGAAAAGTTTCTGTTTGGTGAGGGGACTTGTTTCAACCAAAGTCTACATTTATGCTACTTGCAAAACCGTCCGCCCAAAAGTCATTTTGCCTCATTACTTTATGCGTTTACAAAGCCCAAAATTGAAGAACTTATCCTTTACTCATACACCTACACAATTATTGATCTATTTAACTGCTTTTGTCATAAGATACTGTTTTTTATGCTCAGGTTAGTGGAGTACCATGAGGGAAAACGCAATTTGGTATAAGCGATATTTTGGACGGTTCCTGAGTAGGAGTTGGACTTCGAAGAGCCAGACTTGTTCTTGCAAACCCAACTGAAACCGTTTTGTTTCAAATTTCACCTCCTTTATGACTTTGGAAGGCCTCTTTATCTATTCGATGCCAGTTTCCCTGTTTATGACATCTCGACAACCATAGTTGCATGAGAAGCAGGGAGAAGTTGTGCGTTTGAAACATCAGCCAAGTGGTCGAGTGTTCGTTACTTGAGATAGCTAGTTCCAGTGAACCACAATGATGGTGGAACAGATGTACCGTGCTTTCTGGCTTCCCTTGCCGGAAGACATTTCGACGGTAATTCGCTGGATGGTTGACTTATTGTCAACGATGGGAATGTTTTCCGTGCTCCCCGGAGTTCACACGAACTCGCGATTTGATGGCTTTAACTCTCATGGGTAATCTCAAGTTGTAGTGCAATAGACGAAGTTCATTCACAAATCGGTGACATCGGAATCATTTTTCTAATTCTACACACCCATGAATGCAAAGCGGCATACCCGCATTCTGAGGGAATGTGTTTGTTTGTATAGCTGCAAGACATGACCGCTTATTGTAATCAACATAAGACGTCCTCGAATCGTCGATCAAAAGCCTTCATCTCAAAAACAAAACTGATGTAAACTGATGTCGGTAAATCCACAACGACCGGGGTAGAATACGTGTGTTTGGGTGTGCGACATAGACTTCAGTCAAGGCTTGTGTGACCCCAAGAAAGAGACTTCGGTAATACTGTGTATGTCAGTGTGAATCTCCTTCCATAATGAAGAAAAAACCCTGACCATAGCAATGTGACATTTTATCGTTCACAGGACCAATGTGTATCTGAAAATTGTGAAATAATCTGGGGTGAGCCAAATGATATCGGGGGCTGAATATTCAGACTGATACTTTTATTCACCTCCTCAATCAAGGTAGGTAGTTCATGGTGATTCAGTTGATGTTTGGATACACAGTACCTACAGTTTTCGCAGAAGAATCAATCAGCGTACAGACACAAAGCTTTCACTTATAAAACTAGAATTTCCTGCTCGAAAATGACCGAAAAGTCGTTGAGTGAATTAGGAGTATTCCAATTTGGATAAGAGAAAAATTGATGTTTAAGGAGTCTCGAAATCATTTGAGAGGGCTCTCAACCGCTCCCTTCAATCATTCATCTGAGGCGACCTCGGTGAGGGATGAGTGGATTGGCGGTAAATTTTGACACTTTCATCCTGGAAGCAACAACCCAGCATCTACGGAGGGATATTCATCGATCGATTTATAGACAGCACTCGCCCGAATTCCGTTCGCCGTTATAATTTACACATCGTTTTATCGCTGTCGGTACAACATTTTGATTTCCCCAAATTTATGAATGCGGGATATCCAGTTCAGTTTAACCTTGGCTTGACGAATCCCAAATGAAGTTGAATTAATAATTGTTTCCCTTGTGTGAAAATGAATATTTGAGTAAATTTGCCCAAAATAACCCGGACATTTGCAAGTCTCCAAACCACTGTTATGGCAATTTGTTATTCAGTGTTAGACTCTGATTCTCTTCGGACCCTCGTGAATGTTCAAACTTCTGGCAGATTCCAAGACTGTACTAGGGATTGATGTATTCGACTATATGCTGATAGCCTGGAGAAAATTGTGAATACATTTTAGAGATTTCTTCGAGGATATGAAGACAGCTTGTGCCTACAAATCGGGAAGCATTTTGCGGCCATTTCACGCATATTGTGATTCTCCACCAGTGCGCATCTCAAGAAACTTCAGCTCGCTTTGAAACGAAACCCTGAAGGACCTGCTAGTAGTTTCAGCACTTGAACGTTGTGTCCCGAGCGGCTGGTAGGCAGTTTTATTACATCTCACTTAAATTGAAAATAGCACTGCACACTCAACAACAACGAAAAGGCATATCAAG